GGCTGTATATGGTGGCAACTGGATGGAATGGACAAGAGTAGGTGACACTTCTCAAAGTATAGTTTTTATATAGGTTTGATATTCAAAATGTATAAGTATTATCTATTCAAAAAAATAAAAGTCAAAATAGTAACAAAAACCATAAAGCAACTAGCAATTACATTAGTAAAAACACATAACAATTCTAAAGAGAAAACTTTAAACTCTTAATAAAGAACACAGATAGAAGGTGAACTGAACAAATGATGAGATATTCCATGTTCTTGGATGGGATGAGTCACTATTGTGATGATGTCAACTCCCCTAAATTAATCTATATATTCAGTGCGATCCTACTCAAAATCGCAGCTGGATTTTTGAAGAGCTTGATAAACTCTTTTTAAAATTTATGTGAAGATATAGCTAAGACAACTAAAGAGGAGGGACTTGCCCTATCAGATGTTAAGATACACTGCAAAATATTAAAAAACAAGGAGGTATTAGTACAAGAACTGAAACAGACCTATGTGTGTGTGTTTCATAATATATGACAAAGGTGGAATGGCAAATCAATGAAAAAGGAAGGATTGTTTAGTATCTGATGGTGGGAAATGTGGCTCAATATGTGGAAAAAATAAAATTGTATCACTACCTATCACCACATATGAGAGTGGATTCTAGATAGATTAAAACCTAAAGGTGAAAGGTAAAACTACGAAGTTAATAGAAACAAAGTAGCAGAATATCTTTGTGACCTAGGAGAAGGGAACTACTTTTTAAATAAAACCCCTAAACCAAAAACCATAAAGCAAAAATTTGATGAATTTCGTTGCATTAAAATTAACAATTTCTGTTCAAACAAGACTATCATGGGCAAAGTTAAAACAGAGAGAGACTATTTACAATGTCTGAAACTAACAGGGGACTAATAGCTAGACTATATGAGGAACTCTAGCAAATCAACAGGAAAGATAGAAACCCCAATAGAAAAAATGGGCCAACCATACAAACAAGCAATTTACAGAAGAGGCGAATAACACACACATGAAGAGACGCTCAAAATTTCATTAGTAATCACAGCAATGCAAAGGAAAACAAAATAAGATATTACTTTACACCTCTTAGACTGGGAAAAACTAGAAAGCTGGAAAATGTCAAGTATCAGTGAGGATGTAAGGGTACAGGAATCTTTGTACACTGATGGTAAAACTGTGGACTGGTGTAGCCATCTCAGAGAACTATCTAGCAGTATTTGTGGTCTCCATCAAACTAAGTATATGCACAGTTTATGATGCTATTATTCTGCTCCTGGGCGTATGTTCCAAAATAAATTTTCATACAGGCCAATAAGGAGACAGGCACAAGGATGTTCATCACAGGATTACTTGTGGTATTGGGGAGCTGGAGGTAATCTTGCTGTCCATCATTGAGGGAATATCAGGAAAAATGTAGTGATGGCACACTGTGGTTAGCATGAGCAGGTAGAAGCAATGGATTAGATGTATACACAGCAATATGGATAGATTTTAAAACACAAAGATGAATGAAAAAAGTAAGAAACATAATGAGATATCATTTATATAAAATAAAAATGCACACACACAAAGCATCCTCCATAGTGGGACAACGTGATGTTATGTGCCTCCGAGGTGATACAATACGAAGTAAATGATATCTCCTATGTACTGTTATTGCTAAAAATATTTAATCTGAATCTAATCATGTGGAAAGAGCAAATGAATCCAGAATGTGGGACATTCTACAAGACAACTGGCCTGAACTCTTCAAAAATACCAGTGTCATTTAAAACACACACAGGGGCTGGCCTGTGGCGTAGTGGTTAAGTTCGGTGCATTCTGCTTTGGTGTCCTGGATTCTCAGGTTCAGTTCCTGGGCACGGACCTACACCACTCATCAGCCATGCTGTGGTAGCAACTCACATATAAAGTGGAGGAAGACTGGCACAGATGTTAGCTCAGGGCTAATCTTCCTCAGGGACCCCCCCCATACACACACAAAATATAGGGGTACTAGTCTAGATTTAAAGAAGTTAAAATAATACAACAACCAAATGTAATGCATAAACCTTGATTAGATCCTGGGACCAAAAAATAAGAGGAGGTCTAAAAATATTTTAGGCACAATTGGAAAATATGAATATAGGGTATCTTTGATAGTATTATTGAATTATTGTTAAACTTTCTTAGGTATTATAATGGTATTGTGGTTATGTAGGAGAATGTCCTACAGAATGTCCTAGTAGATGTGTGCTGAAGTATTTAGGGATGAAGTGCTATACTGCCTGCAATTTTCAAATGGTTCATCAAAAAAGAAAATGTATATACACATAAAAAGAGAAGTAGAGCAAATGTGGCAAAACATTAAGGGTATATGGGCTTTCATTGTACTATTCTTTCAACTGTTCTGAATTTTGAAAAATTGAAAAATAAAAATTTGGGGGAAATATATGCACATAAAACAATGGTACATATTTTGAAAGAACACATGTAAACAAAAAGATACTTATAAAACACCTTAGAATGGTTGCTTACAGGAAGGAAATGAGAATGGATAGAACAGATGAAAGTGAATTTAAACAACAAAAAAAACCCCGCTCCCTCAAGTAATACATATTCGCTGAACATGTGGAAAACACAGAAAAGTACAATGAAAAAAACTAAATTCACTGATAATCTCATTTTCTCAGTCAGTAGTTCTCAAAATGTGGTACCTGGACTAGCAGCAGCAGCAGAAGCTTCATCTTCATCATCATCATCATCATCATCACTCGAGCACTTGTTAGAAATGCAAATTCCTGGGCCCTACACCAGACTTACTGAAACACAACTCTGGGCTTGGGGCTCAGCAATTGGTGTTTTAACAAGCCCTCCCAGTGATTCTGATGTTGGTCAAAGTTTGGGTACCACTGATCCAGATTTAACCACCATTAATTTTGTTGTAGATCCTCAAAGTCTTTCTAAAAAAAATTATGAAATATTTCAGGCACACAAATAAGTATAGAGAATAATGTAACACACACCCATGTACCTATACCCAGATAAAATATTAGACAAACAGTTGAAGTCCCCTGTGTATCTCTCTTATTCTGTTCTTTTCTTCCTTCTCAGAGGTAATCACCATTCTGCATTTGGTATTTAATTCCCTAATTTAAAAAATATTGTTTATGTATCTATATAATCTATAAACAACATAGTACATTGTTTTCTAGATTTAAAAAAAAATCTATATAAATGGTCTCATACTTCATGTATCCTTCTACAACTTGTATTTTTTCAGCATTGTGTTTTTGAAATGTATCTTGATTGCTATGTGCAACTCTGTTTCATTTTGTTCTCACTGTTACATTCTGTTGAATGGCTGTACCACTATTTATTTATTCATTCACCTGTTGATGAACTTTTAGAATGGTCATGTTTTTTCCCTATTACAAAAATTTGTGCACATGCCTCCTTGTGCATATGTATAAGAATTTCTCTAGGATTTAAAGTCTAGGGGATATATACCTATATATCTCTTAACAGTAGAATTGCTGGGCCATCTTCAACTATTCTGGATACTTCCTGTTTTCCAAAGTAGTAATTCCAATTTTCACTCCTATCAAAGATTTCATTACAATTTTTTCCCTTACAGTTTGTGCACTTGGGACTTTGTTTAAAAAGTCCTTCCTTAGTCCTAGGTCACAAAGATATTCTCCACTTTCTTATGTGGAAATAAGTGGGCATCCACTTTTATTTTTCTCCTTATGGTGAGCCAAATTTCCCAACGCTATCTACTAAAATGTCCATTTCCCATTGATTTGTGGTACAGGCCTATAAACTCACCCATTTAACAAACACTGCTGAAGCCTGCCTTGTACCAGTCTTGCGCTGGGTCTTGTTGTGGGCTGGAAGATATATGGCCCCTTGTGTCAGGGAGTTCACTCTCCTGTGGAGATACAGTCTCATAAATTATTACAGTATTAAGTGACAAGTGTGACAAGGTGTTCTGAGTTTTTAACTCAGCTGGAAGAGTTCACAGAAGTGACAAGAGTTAGGTCCTAAAGAAACAGCAAGAATCTGCTAAGGCAGGAGAAAGGTAAAGGTGGCCAGGGCTGGTTTGGGGTCCAGAGTTTTGTTTCTCTCTAGGGGGAGAGGTTAGAAGCCCTCCATGGATGCAGGGGCAGTGAATCCTGTGTATATAAGGAGTAAGAGTAGGCAGAGGGAGTCATTTTCTGCCTGGATATGCTAGAGGTGGAGGAACAAACCCTCGGGGTAGAGGGGCTCGGCCCCATCCCGAAGTTGGAGGGGCTAGAATTGAATTACCAGGAAGAAGACATTTTCGGACTAATATTTACTGTTTTTAGGGGAAGACCTCATTCTCCAGTGGGGACACGAGCTCCTCGAGATGGTCTCTAAAGAAACCCTTACTCGCCCCAACTCCAAATATATAAATTCATTCCCTTCTGCGGTTGCCGCTCCGGGGCCTGAGGGAAGGGGGGGCGAGGAACGGAGGGGGGCAAACGGGTGGGAGAGGCTTCCAGTTGTTCGGCTCCTGGGCCTGGCCACGGATCTGAGCTTCTGCAGAAAGAGTTGGGAGTGGCTGCCTCAGGGTTGGTCTGGGGCCCTAAAAGCTGAGCAGGTTGTCAGGAATAGCTAACCAAGTCACTTCAGGTGGAGAATACTCAGCAAGACATGTGACCCAGGCGGCCATTTTCTCACACCCTGCCCGACGCCATCTTCCATCGTAAACAAAGACACCGATCTCCACCCTTGTCTGATGCGGTCATGGTGATCGCCTGGTCACTAAGATTCGGGAACATGTAAATTTAGGCCCAGGTACCGGAGACAAGATCTCGGCTTAAGGCCACACCAGTCGACCCGCCGCTCCCCTCTCCACCTTGCCGGTTCCCCGCCTGTCCCCTCCCCGGTCCCGATGCCCCGCCTCCTCCCTCCCTCCAACCCCTCGGCTACTTCCTTAGCTTACCGGGCAGCCTGGAGGCGGGGCCAGCGCGGCTGCGGGGAAGGGACCGGCGGGCGCGAGCCGTCAATCCGAAGCCCCGCCCCTCGAGGCTGGTATCCGGAAGTCGCAGACCGGCGGCGTGAGCGCAGCCTCTGGGCCAACCGTGTTGCTGTGCTATCCTCCCCTCTCAGACACCCGCCGGAAGTGGAGGTAAGAGATGACTCTCCTCTTTTTTTCATGGTGAGCCCTCGCTCAGCCGGCTGCGCGGTACAGGTCGTCTATTTAAGGTGAAACTAGAGGCGCCCTCCACCCTGGAATAGAGAGGTAAAGAGCCCGTTACCTTCCAGGGTAGAAGGGCCCAGATGAGGGGCAGGGATCGCTCCACACGTGGACATGCACCCACATGTACTCTTGCGGGATAGAGGGGCACGGCCCCACCCTGATGCGGGGTCGGTGAGCCGAGGAGTCGAAAGAAAGATTTCTTAGACTCTCAAGATCTGGCAGTAGTGCTCTTTTATTTAGAGAATAGTGTGGAATAGCATGGGGACAGGACCCATGGGCAGGCAGAGCTTCTGCTGCCCCCGCTGGCAGGCGGACAGGGCCCATGGGCAGGCAGAGCAGCTGCTGCTGCCCCCGCTGGCATGGGGACAGGACCCATGGGCAGGCAGAGCTGCTGCGTGGGGACAGGACCCACGGGCAGTCAGAGCTCCTGCTGCTGCCCCGAGTTAAGGGTTAGGGCTAATTTTATAAGGCATGGGTACGTGACTTATTTTTACTGGAGAAAAGAAAAGATGATGTAAAAAGTCATTAAATGATTTCAGTGCAGATGGGGTCTGGTTATTGTGCGGTCATATAACTTTAGATACGAATCTGGCCATATAGATCGGCATGTAGGTGAGGATGCCCTGGGCTTGTCTCCCTGGGGCAGTCCTAATTCATACCATAAAAAAAGTCCACTGGGTCGTATAGTTTGGCATGTAGGCCAGGTCACCTTGGGCTTCTCTAGCTGGGGCAGCCTTAATCCACATCAACCCCATCTAGACAGGTGTAGACCCCCGGACACACTGTGTAGAGTCACAGACCCCCCTTGTGTGGAGGAGCGTCGGGTGCCCTCCTTCCTTCACGATAGTGAGGCTACATTCTGCACTTTCCCTGTGTAGACAGATGTCGACCCACCGAAGGTGTGGCGACATTGACCCTACCTGTATAGAAACATATCCTCCCCACAAGCCTGAACAGCGTAGACCTCTACCGGCACTAAGGCACACAGGTCCGCCTCGACACACCTCTTCCTTTAGGATAGATGCTTTAATGTATTCCTACCCCCTCTCCCCCCGCCCGGCTACCAGTATACAGGAGCTCAGAAACTTTTAATATACAGGAATAGGGAACCTCCTTCCTTTCGTGTCAAGACCTAGAGACCACCATGTCTTGCCCCGGTGTAACTAATTGACGGAAGCCCTGCCCCCGCTCCCGCAGAGATGGTAGATCACCCCTCCTTGAAGTGGTTGGAGGCGCGAGCCTCAGCCCACCGAGAACCGCACAGATTTCCCCCCTCCTAGGCTAGAGTGAGTCCCATTGTGGAAAATCAGACCTAAACCTCCTCCCCCTGTAAGGAGGCGCTGGTTTACTGAATTTGTAAATTTTTTACAAATTACCCAAATGCCCTGTGGCACACAGCAGCAGACCTTAATCCATGAAGAGACTGTCGGATCTGCCTTTCGTGGGGCTCCCGGGGTAGAGGGGCTCAGATTTGTTCTCCTTTTGAGGCAGACCATCCCTCCCGCCTCCCCCAAGGATTTAGAATCACCAAATGTAGCAAAGGAGAGACCTCAAGGATGCAGAGAGATGAAGCTTCCCTCCCCGCAGAGGCATTGACATCATTGACCACCCCACAGTACGTGCATATGGGCTCCCCACTTACCCAAGGTAGAGGAGCTCAGATCTCTTTCTCTCCACCCAGGGTAAAAACACAGGACGCCCCTCCACCCACAAGTGTAAGGGCCGATCTGTTGAATTTGTAGGTGTATTGCTGCCCCTCCCATCAGAGAACCAGAGATCCTGTTCCCTTCAATGTTAGCACACTGCCGACTTCAACCCATACAAAAGATAAACAGATCATCCCCATCCCATGGAAGGGGCTCCAGGCAAGGTGCAGGCCCCCCCTCATGCAAACATGTATGATTCCCCCCTTTGTTAGTGTGGCACTAATGATACCTTGTAGTGGAGACAGGCCTATCCCCCCCCCCCCAACCCTGGTGAAGAGACCCAGGACCCTTCTCTGCACAACTTAGAGATGTACAGACCTGTGCTTCTCTCCCATGTGGCGGAGATGCACGTGGCCACTGTGCCAGTTCCCCCAGTTCCTCTGCACCCCAGAGTAGAGCAACAGAAGGCATCCTACCCCACCCCCCAATTGCTAAGGAACAGACACCAACCACACATGCAGGCACAGATTTTCCCCATTTTCCCCAAGATTTTGCACTGACTTCAGTCCACATAGACACACAGATAAACATTCCTGTTCTGTGGTCCCTTCTCCCCAGGGTAGACTCTTGGGATCTGCCTTCCCACTTCCAGGGTAGATAAGACACAGAACCCCCTACTTGGGAAAAGAGGTACTGTTAACACCTTATGTAAAATAGATGGTCCTTGCATACCCCACTTCCCTCAGTGTAGAGAAGTTTAGTGCTAGTTCCTTACCTAGCATATAATGCTACAGGGTGGAGGATTGAGGACCATGGACTTCATCTAATGCATTGAGGCACTGACTCCACCCAGTGAGAGAGGTTTAGACCTAGCCTTCCTTTGGGTAGTGTGATGTTGCCTTCCTTGTATAGACTCAGCCATACTGGGCTCCAGCTCCAGTATAGCCCCTTCTCCCAGTTCCTCTAATTGTTAGGGCTTCCTTACCAAGTTCTTTAACATTTTATTTTGCCTTTTTTGTGTGTGTGCTTTTTTTTTTTGGTGAGGAAGATTGGCCCTGAGGTAACATCTGTTTCCAGTCTTCCTCTTTTTTTTTTCCTCCCCAAAGCTGCAGTACATAGTTGTATATCCAAGTTGTAGGTCATTCTAGTTCTTCTATGTAGGATGCCACCACAGCATGGCCTGATGAGCGGTGTGTAGGTCCTCACCCAGGATCTGAACTGGTGAACCCTGGGTCAATGAAGTAGAGCATGTAAACATAAGCCATGGGGCCAGCCCCCTTATTTTGCCTTTGAGAGCTCAGAGAGAGCTTGTGACATTGTGGTTCCCTGCTCTGTCTTCAAATTGGTTCTTCTCTCATTCCAACAGGAAGAAAGCCTGCAGATTTGAACCTACCTGCTTTCAAGCTGGTCATCATGATGAAACTTAGACACAGTGAGTTTCTTTTGCCACCCCTTCTCAGTCCTAAGCTTTAATGAATATTCGTAGTATTTCACAGCAACTTTTAAAAATTGGCCAGTATATACTAGATCATTCAGTCTGTCTTTTACATATGTATTGTCTTCCCATCTTCCTTGTGAAGTAATGCTCCCCTTATCCCCCATTCCCATTTTACAGATGAGGAAACAGGCTCAGCAAGGTTAAGTGACTTGGTCTGAGGTGAATAGCAGCAAATACCATATCACACAGCCTGTAATCCTAACATGCCCTAACATTTTTCTTTATAAGTTATACCTGTAAGTTGGTATGGTAATTTATACCAGTGATTAAGAGCATGGACTCTGGAGCCAGACTGAGTTTGTATCTCAGCTTTTCTACTTACTAGTTGTGTGGCCTGGGAGGCGGTAACTTAGCTTCAGTCTCCTTATCTACAAAACAGGGATAATAGTAGTATCTACCTAATAGCATTGTTGTGAGGATTTAATGAATTAAAATAGGTATAATACTTAGAACAGTGTCCAGCACATAATAAGCACTCTATAAGTATTGGCTTAAAAGTTCAGTCTCTTCATTTCTCTGTGGAATTTGGCCCCTCAGAGGATGTGTACATTGTCCCGCCACTAAATTATTGTCTGACTTCTCTTGAGCTTTGGATTTTTCTTAACTGTAAAACAGACAGGATGGTCAAATTTCTGTTCTTTCTGCCCTTTCTTCCATCCCTTCTTTCTTCCCTCCCTTCCCCCTCATTCTTCAACTGGATAGCTCTTGCTTGTTTGTCAGATTTCAACCTATGCATCACTTCCTCTGGGAATTGCTCCCTGTTAACCTCCTCTCTTGGTTTCCACTCATCTGTGTACCCGCAGGAACTGGGGCTGTTGACGTTGTATGATCGGGTCTGTCTCCTTCACTACACTGTTAACTTCTTACCCACATCTGGTTCATCTTTGTGTCCCAGGGGTCCAGCCTGACCCAGCATAGCTATTTGGTACTTAGTGTGTGCCAGGCACTAGAATGTCTCAATTAGTAGTGCTAACTCAATTCCCTCTCCTCCCACCACGATGCTTACAGCCTAGAGGGAGAAGACACATGTGGTACACAGACTCTCCTGTATAAGAAGGAAGTCAAGGGCATTAGGGCAGGTCCGGGTCTGTGCTTCCCACCTTTATCCTGCCATATTCCACGTAGAAAATGATAACATTTGGATAGCATGCTGGGTAGATTAGATGAGATTAGTGCAACCCAGTGGCCCCATGCAGACATCCTAGGAGATATTGTGGGTTTGGTTCCAGACTACTGCATTAAAGCAAATATCGCAATAAAGCAAGTCACATGAATTTTTTGGTTTCCCCGTGCATATAAAAATTATCTTTACACTATACTGTAGTCTATTAAATGTTCAATACCATTATGTCTAAAAAACAGTGTGTGTACCATAATTAAAAAATACAAAATGCTAACCATCATCTGAGCCTTCAGTGAGTTATAATCTTTTTGCTGGTGGACGGTCTTGCCTCGAGGTAGATGGCTGCTGACTGATCAGGGTGATGGTTGCTAAAGGTTGGGGTGGCTGTGGTAATTTCTTAAAATAAGACAACAGTGAAGTTTGCCACATTAATTGACTCATTCTTTCACGAAAGATTTCTCGTAACATGTGATGCTATTTGATAGCATTTTACCCACAGTAGAACTTCTTTCAAAATTGGAGTCAGTCCTCTCAAACCCTGCCGCTGCTTCATCAACTAAGTTTATGTAATATTCTGAATCTTTGTTGTCATTTCCACAATCTTCACTAGGAGTAGATTCCTTCTCAGGAAACCACTTTCTTTGCTAGTCCGTAAGAAGCAAATCCTCATCCATTGAAGTTATATCATGAAATTGCAGCAATTCGGTCACATCTTCATGCTCCACTTCTAATTCTAGTTCTGTTGCTATTTCTACCACATCAGCAGCTACGTCCCCCACTGAAGTCTTGAATCCCTCAAAGTCATCCATGAGGGTTGGAATCTATTTCTTCCAAACTCCTGTTAATGTTGATATTTTTATCTCTTCCCATGAAGCACAATGTTCTTAATGGCATCTAGAATGGTGAGTCCTTTCCAAAAGTTTTTCAATGTACTCTGCTGAGATCCAGCGGAGGAATCACTATCTATGGCAGCTGTAGCCTTACAAAATGTATTTCTTAAATAATAGTACTTGAAAGTTGAAACTATTCCTTGGTCCACGGGCTGTAGAATGGATATTATGTTAGCAGGGATGAAAACAACATTAATCTCGTTGTACATCTCCATCAGAGCTCTTGGGTAACCTGGTATATTGTCAATGAGCAGTAATATTTTGAAAGGAATCTTTTTCTGAGCAGTAGGTCTCAATAGTAGGCTTAAAATATTTAGTAAACCATATTGTAGACAGATAGGCTGTCATCCAGGCTTTGTTCTATTTGTAGAGCATAGGCAGGGTCGATTTAGCATAATTCTTATGGGTCCTAGAATTTTCAGAATGGTAAATGAGCTTTTGTTTCAACTTAAAGTCACCAGCTGCACTAGCCCCTAGCAAGAGAGTCAGCCTATCCTTTGAAGCTTTGAAGGCAGCATTGACTTCTCTCTAGCTATGAAAGTCCTAGCTGGCATCTTCTTCCAATATGAGGCTGTTTCATCTACATGGAAAATCTGTTGTTTAGTGTATCCACCTTCATAAATTATCTTAGCTAGATCTTCTGGATAACTTGCTGCAGCTTCTCCATCAGCACTCACTGCTTCACCTTGCGCTTTGATGTTATAGAGATGGCTTCTTTCCTTAAACCTCGTGAACCAACCTCTTCTAGCTTCAAACTCTTCTGCAGCTTCCTCTCCTCTCTCAGCCTTCCTAGAATTGAAGAGTTAGGGCCTTGGTCTGGATTAGGCTTTGGCTTAAGGGAATTTTGTAGCATGTTTGATCTTCTGTCCAGACAACTAGAACTTTCTCTGTATCAGCAATATGTTTTGCTTTCTTATGATTTGTGTGTTCACTGGTGTAGCACTTTTAATTTCCTTCAAGAACTTTTACTTTGCATTCACAACTTGGCTAGTTGTTTGGTGCAAGAGGTCGAGCTTTCGGCCTGTCTTGGCTTTCAACATGCCTTCCCCACTAAGCCTAATTATTTCTAGCTTTTGATTTAAACTGAGAGACATGCAACTCTTCCTTTCACTTGAACACTTAGAGACCATTGTAGAGTTATTAATTAGCCTTATTTCAATATTGTTGTGTCTCGGAATAGGGAGGCCTGAGGAGATGGAAAGAGGTGGGGAAATGGCCAGTTGGTGGAGCTGTCAGAACACACACATTTATTTATATGGGCACAGTTTGTGGTGCCCCAAAATAATTACAATAATAACATCAAAGGTCGCTGATCACATAACAAATATATAATAATGAACAACTTTGAAATATTGTGAGAATTACCAAAATGTGACTCAGAGACAAGAAGTGACCAAATGCTGTTGGAAGAAAGGCACCAATAGACTTGCTTGATGCAGGTTTGCTGAAAACCCTCAATTTGTAAGAAATACAGTGTCTGCAAAACGTAATAAAGCAAAGCACTATAAGACAAGATATACCTGTATTCTGTGTGAATGGTGGCCCTACCTGTGTAGGGCTTGGTGAAAACAAAAAATTCAATACATTTACTTTATATTAATGTAAAAGCTTTCATCAAGAATCCAACTTTGGTTATATTGATACCAAAGCAAACAAATAATCATTTTTTTTCAAATAACACAAGAAAAATGAACAAAATTAATTATACTCTATTTAAGAACATCAAATACCAGATGATAATAGAATTATTGAATTAGTCATGAAACAGACAGTACTTAGCTGGTTAAATAGAGTATATGCATATGAAAAAACCCTGGCAGTTTAAAAAAACGAGGCAGTATTGAATGGAGAGATTATATGGAAAGAATGTATTGTGGGGAAAAACTATTAGATGGAAAGATCTCCAGGATTTGTTAAGTGAAAAGAACAAGTTGCTGACTATAGTATGTTACCTTCTATAAGAGAGATTGGGGGGAAATAAGAATATATATTTGTATTTGCATAGAGAAACTGATGAACGATAAACTAGTAGAGTGGTTTCTTGTGGCAGTGAGGGCACTGCAGTGGCGAGGGACAAGTGTGGGAGGGAGACCTCAAAATATACCTTTTGTATTTTAGAACCGCATGACTGTATTACCTGTTAAAGAGCAATCATACGCATCTACATTAGTGGGGAAAATGGTAAACATTAAATTAAATAGAAAAGCTTTACATGTGCACACAAAACAAAGTCTTTCACTGTTAAATTGCAACTAAAGTAATGATAAGACTAACTGGGATGATTGCAGCGGAAGATGGGGGAGGTGCTGCATGGTACAACTCCCTGTGCTCTCAGCTAAAGATGCCTTGGACCCAAATGGTAATGATAATGATTAAATCTGGGAAGGTTATTGAGGACCCCTACAAAGAGTGCTCAAATACGGCCTCAACTGTTGTAATTTTTGAATGGTTATTAAAAAAGAGAGTGTTTTATCGCTTAAAAGATTTACAACCATCCGTGATTGGTGGCACACGTATATAATCTGTTGTACTGACAGACTGTGGAATGTAAGTTGCACAGGGAGGGAAGGGGGCTGGCTGATGAATAAGGAACCAAGTGGAGGCTCCAGTGTTTTTGGAAGTCTCTAGAAGACTTGAACAAATGAGCTTGTTGATAGTCGAACAAAGCAGCTTGAACTGGGAGGTTGAACAAGTGAGCTTGAAGATGGTTGAGAGGGGTGTTTGAGACTGCTTTCTCAAGTCCAAGCAGTTACAGATGATGATCATAGGTATCACCATACCAATGGGTGGGGCAGGTGGCTGCATGGAGTGGGGATCCCTGGAAGTGAGGATGTTGAGGAAGTACGAAACCCAAGTGTTGGAAGGGGCCCCGTGATCACCAGTTACCCAGGTGGATGGTGGCAGTATTTGGATCGAAAGTAAAGCTATGAACCAGGGGCTTCAATGAATGAGGAAAAGTGACTCAGGTGACAGGCATAGCATTGGCCTCAAAAAGAATAGGATTTTTTTTTCTTTTTTAACAAGAGGGAGAAATAGTCTTAGTTTGGCAATGGTGAATCTGGAGGTCACCTCCTCTACCTACTGGCCCCAAATTGCTCATGTGCCAGAGAAACAACCACCACCTTTCCAGAGGCCTGCAGGGGAAGCAGAGTTCTCAGGGAAGAACTGAGTGTCCACTAAGGCAGGGGGTTGGGGAATTGTTCCCAAAGAGAGATGGAAGAATTAAAGGAGTGCTGATCTCCCAAGTGGGAGTTTCAGAGGGCGTAGTGGGAAGTCTGAAGCAGGAGCAGAGGGAGATTGGAGAGTGGAGTCAGTGTCAGGCTGGGTGTACAGGGACGTGAGGCAAGACTATGGGAGATGATGGGTGAATGGAGAGATCTGCCTTGGAGTAGTAGTGATGTGAGAGTTGGTGAGTTTGACCTAGATGTTGTTGGTGGATGGAGACATTGAGGCTCAGAGAGATTTAAGAAAATTCTTCAAGGTCATATCGCTAGGTAGCTATTGAGAGCCAGAATGGGGACCTAGGTCTGGCTGGCTTACAAATGGTAGCAGTTTTCTCTCTGAAAATGTTGAAAAACAGATTAGCAGAGGCTCCTGGGTGCTGCAGTGCTGTGAGTGATGAGTGTACCCTTGCCCTCCTCCCCTTCTCTCCTTCCCCTTCCTTCTCCCCTCTGAAGCAGATGTTTTTTCCCCTCTCTAAATGAGGTATTTTCTTTCATTGTGTGCTTGTATCTAGTGTAGGCCCTCAGTTTCCAGAAGTTAGGCAGATGGAAATTGTTGAGTAAAATGGCCAAACCTGGTTCATTCCAAACCTCACATTCTTTTCATTGCAACATGAATTCTTTGGAAGAAAAGGAGACTTGGGGGTTTGTTTTCTGTTATTGTTGTTGTTAACAGGGAAATTCAACCCATTCACATTCATTTTGGTAACTAATGTGTTTGGTCTACTTTCAGCTATTTTATTTTATATTTTTTGTTTCCTCTTATTCCCTTATTTATTTACTTTTTAAAAATTGATCAAGTTTTTAAAAAAATCTTCCAGTAATTAAAGTTATGTTGGTAATTGTATTCCTATTTATATCAAACATGATTAAACTTGAATTTCTCTATCACTTTACCAAAGTTAAATAATATTTTTGTCCTACCCTTCCAAAGTGAGATCTTTAGCATGCTTTCATGCTTTTCCTTTTCCAACCCCTATTGCTTGATTCCTGAATTTTGTTGAAATAATTTGGTATTTTAGTTCTGAGCTATTTCACTATGATATGCTTCCTGGATTTTAAAAATCCTTTCTTAATATGTATTATAGTTCTTAGCCAGATTACTAGCATTTTCTTTTTAGATTTAATGGTAAGTTTTAATAGTTTTCCTGCTCACCATTATTTGTTTCCTTTAGCTCGAGATCTTCTGATTTAATTTTTACTTTTGCTGGTATACTTCCTCAAGTAGTTTTACCAGAAAGGGAACACAGGTGGTAATCTTTGCACATCTGAAAATGTCTGTCCTTTATCTTCATGTAAGAGTGATCTATTGGTCAGGTACAGGAATTTAGTTTTGGAACACAGTCCCTTGTCTCAGAACTTCGTAATGGGGCCGGCCCGCTGGCGCATCGGTTAAGTTCTCATGTTCCGCTTCTCGGCGGCCCAGGGTTCACTGGTTCAGATCCCAGGTGCAGACATGGCACCGCTTGGCACGCCATGCTGTGGTAGGCGTCCCACGTATAAAGTAGAGGAAGATGGGCATGATGTTAGCTCAGGGCCAGGCTTCCTCAGCAAAGAGGAGGACTGGCAGTAGTTAGCTCAGGGCTAGTCTTCCTCAAAAAAAAAAAAAAAAGAACTTCGTAATGGTTATTCTTCTGTCTTAATTGTTCAGGATTGTAGATTTGAGAAGGCTATCTACTTCTCTTGCCTTTGTTGGAAACTCCTTCTGTTTAGAAGTTTATAAGATTTTTCTCTTTATCCTTAGAGTTCAGAAATTTCATCAGGATATGTCTTTTTTGTTAATCTTGATGCTCCATGAGCCTTTCTAATCTGAAACCTCAAGCTTGTTTTCAACTTAAGGAACTTTTGCTTATTATTTAAAAAAATAATAGCTTCTCCATTTGTAACTTTTTCTCTTTCAGGAACTCCTATTATTTAGGTATTTGCTCTCCTGGATCCATTCTCCATTTTCTATTTTTACTCAATAGTTTTCATTTCTTTGGATTTTTGTTCTGTTTTAAGCATTCTCTTCCCTTGATCTTCCAACTTTTAATTTGGTTGTTAGTGATGTCTGTTATGTTTTTCACTACATCTATTGAATTTTTATTCATTATCAAGTTTTGGGAATCTTTTTCTCACATAGTTCCTTTGAAGTATCTTCTTGAATCTCCTTAAGAATTTGTAGTAGTATTTAAATTCTCCGATTCCTACATTAACTCTGCTTCAGTGTGAACCACCTAATGTGGTTGGGGAGCCTGTTCTCTGTTTGGTAACCTCAAGCTGCTCTTATATTTGTTTGTATATATCCTGACCTGCCAGAACCCCTCCCCCCCCAGGAATTCCTTTAGCCCCACTTGCAGATGGTGAGAATTAAGGGCAACCATTCTTCCCCAAGAGGCCAGCTGTGAAGGGGTAGCAGATGGGACTTCTCATTGAAGCGGGGAGAGGCCTCTTAAGTTTCTGGGCTTCATTAAGGCGTGATTGGAGAAGGTGAGCTCTCTCTTCCTTGGATCCAAGGGAGGCTGCACTTTAGCTGTACAGAGCAAGTTCCTTTGGAGGCAATGGCCTGAGCAGGGTTGGCAGGAAGGGGCAGTTCTCTCCCCATGTGCTGAGGGCATCTACCTTGGCTTAGCCAGCTCGGACTCCTCAGATCACCTTCCCATACTGCCAGCGCCCCCATCTCAGCCTGGTGCTGAAATTACTGAGTTGCCCCAGTCAGAAGTTGGGGGAGAGAAAGGAGTCTCAAGTGCACATTCAGGTCACTCTCGTCACAGGATTCCAAGAATTGTTTCAGTTTGCATTGAAATAATGCCCCAAACCTTATATCCAGTATTTCCTCTGACACTGTTGCTACCGTTACTGTATCTGTCTTGTACTGGGCCTAGATAGACATGGTGTCTGAAGTTTCCTTAGGTTCCCAGTGTGGCCTGGCCTCCATTAAGGTGTCAACAAATATTGGGTAGGAGGATGATGGCTCTTTCTTTTTTTTGTAGAGAATAAAAAGCCAAGTAAAGGTTCCAAAGGCTGCAAGAAGGTAAGTTGGTCCCACCATCAGGTAAGGTATACCCATTGTTGGAGGTGATGTCAGGAACAGGTTGCTTGCCCTAGAAGAGGCCCATAAAACCCAGTAGATAGATGTTGGATGACTCTAGACAGAGCACTACATTGGAATCAGTAGATCTGGCTTTCCTTCCCTCCTGGGTGGCCGTAGTAGAGAATCAGTAGCATTTATTAAGTTTCCACCGTAAGCCATTGCTGCTTTGTGCTTGATATACCTAGGTAGGTATTGTCATCATCCCATTTTTTAGGAGACTCTGGGCGTCTCTGATAAAGTTCCTAGGTTCAAGGTGGCACACCTGGGACTTAAGTCTGCCTGATTCCCAAGTCCCTATTGCTCATGGAGAGGAGGGAGGCCAAAACATAATCTTTATCCCTCGCTCCTAGATCTCCTGGTCGTGCTGGGAAAGGTGTGGACAAGTAAGACTTGGTCCAGAGCTGTGGTTCTCAGATTTTAGCATGGTTAAAGTTCTCAAACTTTGGCCCTCCAGAATCACCTGGAGGGCCGGTTAAAACACAGATTGTTGTGCCCCATCCTGAGTTTCTGATTCAGTAGGTCTGCCGTGGCATCTGATAATTTGTATTTTATAACAAGTTCCCAGGCGATGCTGCTGCTGCTAGTCCAAGGACCACACTTTGGGAGCTACTTAGCTTTTTCCTTGGCCTTTACTTGGGAAACCTTCCTAGTTGCTCTTCCCCATGCCCCGTTTCCTGGGGTTCTTCAGTCAGTACCTGCCTGGCTAGAGGAGGGAGGGTCTCTCTCAAGCCATATGGGCAGACCTCCAGGGACAGAGCCTTTCTTTTTGCTTACTCCTCTCATTCCCCCATAACTATACTTCTGAGCAGCTTTAACCCCTTGAGAGGGGTGATTTCCATGGGTTCATTAGCTCTGTTTGATTTTTTCCTCTTGTGTGGTGACCAGCCTGCAAAGCAGAATGGGAAGAAAGCAGCCTCTAGAGTGGCCTCTGCTCCCCAGTTTGTTCACTCCAATGATCGTGCCAATTGGGACACTGAATTAAAGAAGAAGAGGGTAAGCCCTTTACCTTGGGGGAGAGAGAAGGCCTAGTTCGACTTCTAGGTCCGCAGAAGTGGTGAATGGAAGGGCAAAGGCCAGAACTGTTAGGGTTCTTGAGGCTGTTTGTGGAAGGGGGAGAGAGGGTAGTCTCTTTGATACTTGATTTAGCGTCTCCATTTACTCATCTGCCCCTCACCTTGCTGGACATCATTGCTGTCCAGCCTATGTTCCCACTGCTTCATGGAAATGACCCCTGCCAGCCTCACCAGTGTGTTCTCTGACATCACACTCATGGAGAGTTTTCTTCCTTATCTTACTTAATCTTATCCAAGTTCTCAGTATTTGAGACCGTGCTTTCCTTGAAATACTCTCGCTTTCCCTTGAAACACTCTCACTTTGACTTTCTTATCATCTCACTCTCCTGGATGTCCTCCTTCCTGTTTTCCAGTCTCTCTTGCTGCTCCTTCCTCTTCCTGCTCTTTAAATATTGGAAGATCCTTGTCCTCTTTCCCCCTCTAGTCTTCACTGGTTCCCTCTGTCTAGAACACATTCTCTCTCAGCTTCACATACCCTCTTTTTATTGTTCTCTGCCACACTTTCCCTTCCTTCATCTGTCTGTCTTTTTCTTTGTCTCAAACCCCTTATCTCCTGCTGTCATATCTGCTCTCCCTGTATCCCTGCTCCTCCCACCTCTGCCATGTCACCTTGTTTCCTCCCTGTCACCCATTCCCTGTTATTCTTGGTCTTCCAGCCCTCCCTTAGGCTGAAGATCTAGTCAGCTACAGTACTGGTGTGTGTTCACTTGTTAGGTTGGGGAGATGAGGGAGAAGCGGCAAGCTGCCCGGGAGCAAGAGAGACACAGACGCAGGACCATTGAGAGCTATTGTCAGGATGTCCTGCGACGCCAAGAGGAATTTGAGCGCAAGGTAAGAGAGCAGCCTTTGCCCCTGGGTAGGACTGGTGTGAGTTTGCTTAAAAGCATCTTTTGCCATTGCTCTGTAAAAGGGAAAGAGGAAGAGTGTGAGGTCGTTGGAGGGGAAATAGGGAATCAGTACAGAGAGGATGGGAAACAATGAGGATAGAGGGAGGGAGGAAGGATGAGAAGGAGGTACAGGGTCATTTTGAGCCTTATCTGCGACTGGACAACCCTGGATAGGTCCTCTCTCCAAAGCTGGAACCCAAAGACTGGGGGTTGGGAATGGGGGCGGGGAGACATAGGACTAGAGGATGGGGGAGAGAGGGAGTGAGAGTATGAAGGGAGGGTTAAGAGGAGTATATGTTGGGGGGATGTCATCTTCCTTCTGGGACTTCTTACTGCCTCTTTTGGCATATATTCTCATCTCACAGAATATGCACTTTCGAACTCACAGTCCCTTTTCTAACAAAAAGTATGTATTTTGCCTCCCCCATCCCATGTCCCCCCGTAAATCGTCTTTCTCACTTACACCTCCCTCTCACATTCCTCCCTTACACACCCATGTGCACTCTAAGGCCTCTAGCTGGTGCTCAAACACACACTTACTTACACAGAGGCAGATACACGCACCATGTGGGTCTATCCATTCTTCTTCTAGTTCCTGGCTTTGTTGGCTGGTCAAAGCTATTCTTACTTGGGCTGGGACTCGTAAGGCTCCCCCAGCCTCCCATGGTTTCTAAAACCCTGGCTCTCACTCTCTCTTTCCTCCCCTGGACCATTCTCTTTTTTTTTCCTTTAGGAAGAGGTTTTGCAGGAATTAAATATGTTTCCTCAGCTGGATGATGAGAGCACAAGGAAGGCTTATTACAAGGAGTTCCGTAAGGTATGGGGACCCATTTTTTAAGGCCCTTTGAGGAGGACACCAATCCAGTTCCATCTTCTCTCCATTTCTGTTTTTCCTGATTGAGATGGAGACGTTTTCTTTCATGGGCCTGTGTCATTGCTACTCAATCCTTTCCCTGCCTTCATCACCCATCCTCTGCCCTGCAGGTGGTGGAATACTCTGATGTGATTCTGGAAGTCCTGGATGCCAGGGACCCGCTAGGCTGCCGTTGCTTCCAAATGGAGGAGGCTGTCCTGCGGGCAGAAGGCAACAAGAAGCTGGTCCTGGTCTTGAACAAGATTGGTGGGTGTTGGGCAGGATTGGGTTAGGCAGGGCAGGGGCCAGGCCTTCTTGAAAAACTAGCTGGGACCAGACCCCAAGACCCAGCAACTCAGTGGTATTCATAACAGTTGTGCAAGGTAGGAATTCTTGTTCCAGTTTTTAAAGCAAGAAATCTGAGAGGTGAAGTCACTTTTGTGTAAAGACACACACACACACACGAACACACAGAGTGTAGCAGAAGTTTGGAATGGAGTCCAAGCCTGTCTACCTTTTAGGCCTCTGTTCTTGACATTTTGAGCCTTATCTGTGACTGGCCTACCCTGGAGAATTTCTGTCTTCCCCAAGCTGGAACCCAAAGACTAGGGCAGAAGAGCACGTGGGCTCAGGAGTCACTCAGGTTCTGGTCTCATCTCAGTTGTGCTGTCTGTTTTCTTTGGGATCTTGGACAAGTCATGTCACCTGAGAGCTTCTGTTTCTCTAGCTGTAAAATGGGCTATCATTGTACCAACCTCACAGGGTTGTTGTGAAAATTAATGATAAAGTGCTTGGTACATACATGGTCACTACTTCACAAATGGTAGCCATTCTTGTCAGAGCTATTCTTGACATTTGGCCCAGCCTAGAATGATCCAGAGAGGGGATGGAAAACAATCTATTAGAGGCCTCTGGCACCCTGGTCTCCCTGTCTTGGAAGGAAGGCATCTGGGACTAAACAGCTAGTTTGCCCATTTTCCATGAGGGAACAGAAGTCCCTTCAGAGAGTACCAACTGTCCCCTAGACTATACTGTCCTTTCTCACTCTAACCTGGGGACTGGACAGGGAGTGGTATCTGTTGGGAGGAGACCAAGGCCTAGCCTTGGGTGTGGGTGGCTGTGTCTTTGGAGTGAGCCATTGAGGTACTGTTCTCCTTACCAGTCCTATCTGTTCCTATTTTCCCCAGACCTGGTCCCCAAGGAGGTTGTGGAAAAGTGGCTGGATTACCTTCGGAATGAGCTGCCAGCTGTGGCTTTCAAGGCCAGCACCCAGCATCAGGTCAAAAACCTGGTAAGCTGGGGCCAGGGGCATCTAGCCTCTTTGATGGTAGCCTGGGGCCAGGGTTGGGGGCTTGTGAGTTGGCCCTGGGCCTCCAGCCCTTTGGTAATTGAACTGGGCCTTCAACTTTGAGCTTTTTGCTTTACTGGATGACTTCTTAATATTAGTTTCATTTTTCTTCTTCCTATATTATTACTCTTCAGGAAGCATTTTTTTTTCCCAGATGTAAGAGTAATGCGTACTGTCTATAGAAAATTTGGAAAATATGGTTAACTATTTGTTAAATTTTAAAAATATATACCTCCATTTGTTTTTCTCTTTAAAACAAATTGCACTACTTTCTAATTATATCGTTAATACAGAAATACATTTTTATTGTAAAATATTCAAGTATACAGAAACATTGGTTGCTTCTAGGGAGAGAAACTGGGTGATGGGGGACATTTTTTCCATCTTGTACCAGGTATAAAAAATAAAGTAGAAAAAATGAAAACAATTACAGATAAAGCTTAAATACTCATTCACCAGTACCCCTAATTCCAATCTCCTTTATCCATACTCATTGGTAACCACCATTGTCAGTTTGGTGTGTATCCTTCCAGATGTTTTTCTGTGCTTTATATATGTGTGGATGTATATATAAAGAGAAAATAGTGTTTAGGGGTATCGTATATTTCATCCTGTGACTTCCTTTTTATTTTCCTTGGAGATCTTTCTATAGAGATCTACCTTTTTGATGCTAAATAAAAATTAGTTTTCAATTTTTTTAAAGATTTCTTGTTTTAATTTATATTTCTTCAATTAAAACTATGGTCAAACCCTTTTACATATATTTATTCATTACTACTTCTGTTTACTCCTGTATGTGAGCCACCACTATTGCATGGCCACTGACAGCTGAGTGGTGTAGGTCTGCACCTGGGAGCTGAACCTGGGCTGCTGAAGTGGAATGTGTCGAACTTAACCACTAGGCCACTGGGGCTGGCCGAGTTTTCAATTTTTTTATCATTATAGTCAGTACTTCAACACACCCTTGCACATGTCTTGGCAGGTGGGCAAGTGTTTGTGTAGGTTGGATACTGAGAGGTGGAGTGGCTAGGCTTTACACGTTTTACATTTTCCTAAACATTGATAAATTGTCGCCCACCCCCGTCCCCAGTGGCTGTACCAATTTATCTTCCCACCAGTGGGGTAGATGAATGTGTGAGATGGCCTATTTCCCTACACTCTTGCCAACATTTGATATCATTAAAGATTTTAATCTTTGCTCATCTGGGAGAAACATACAGTAGTCCCTGCTTATCCACGGGGGATACATTCCAAGACCCCTGGTGGAGGCTTGAAATCACAGATAGTACCAAACCCTATATATACTATGTTTTTCCCTATACATGCATACTTAAGATAAAGTTTAATTTATAAATTAGGCACAGTAAGAGATTACCCACGATAATTATAAAATAGAACAATTATAACAATATTCTGTAATAAAAGTTACCATACATCTTAGCAACCTCAGTGTACAATTTTTTTGTTTCCTTATTAAGTCAAGAAGTTTCACCTTTTCACCTAAAGGAAGCTCTTTACGGCTTCTCTTTGGCCTTTCTGAATTGCCAGCATCATTACTCTTGCACTTTGGGGCCATTATTAAGTAAAATAGAGGTTACTCGAACACAAGCACTGTGATATTGTGACAGTCAGTCTGATAACCGAGATGACTGCTAAGTGACTATTGGGCGGGTGGTGTGTACAGAGTGGACATGCTGGACAAAGGGATGATTCACACCCAGATGGGATTGAGCAGGACTCATGAGATTTCATCACGATACTCAGAATGGCGTGCAGTTTAAAACTTGTGAATTGTTTATTTCTGGAATTTTCCATTTAATCTTTTTGGACCATGGTTAACTGTGTGTAACTGAAACCATGGATAAGAGGCGACCACTGTTTCTCATTTATAATTTTTTGGTCTTTTTGATGGCAAAAATGTGGTAAGCATCCTTTTCTAACAGCTTTCTTTCATTTGTATTCTACTTTAAGGATGTATCTCCTTAACTTGTTTCTTATTGATGGATATTTAGGTTAATTCCTATTTTGCAGTGCTGTGGTGGGTAAGTAAGGAAGGAGGAAGAGGAGGAAGAGCATTCTGAGTAGAGGAGGTGGCATTAGGAGTAAGGAGATGGAGGCTGGAATGGGCTTGTTCTGTGTGAGGAATCAAGGGAAGGTAGGCTGTATGTGGGCCAGGCATCTCTCTCTTCCTGCCACAGGCAGGGAGGGCAGATGTCCCCATTGTGCAGATGAGGGCACCAAGGCCCAGAGAAGGGAAGCAGGATTTGTTGGGCACATGCCTGTGAGAGGCAGAGCTGGAACTCAAACCTCACCTGTTGAGAGGCCAGGATGCCATCCTGCCCCTGCTGAGGGAGGCAAGAGACACCTGTGTCCAAGCAAAGGCAGGGACAGAGAAGACTAGAGATGCAAAGGCAGTGGAAAAACAGGCCTCATGGGTCTCTGAAGGGAGCAGGGAAATGGCAGGTGTTCAGGGCCTGTGTGAGAAGCCCTCTGCTTCAGGTTGGGGATCTCGGTGATTACAAGGAGGTGGCCCTGAAAGTTTCCCTGAAAGTTGGAAATCGGCCCAGACCACATCTCCTACCTGATGCCTCTTCTGTTATACCCCTCATTTTCCAGAGTCGTCGTAGTGTGTCAGTGGAGCAGGCCTCTGAGTCACTGCTGAAAAGCAAAGCCTGCTTTGGAGCTGAAAACCTCATGAGAGTTCTGGGGAACTATTGTCGCCTTGGCGAAGTGCGCACCCATATCCGTGTGGGCGTTGTGGGTAAGGCCTTGGGGGAGGTCATGGGGCCCAGGCTGCTTCCTTGGGCAGGGGCTTCATTTGGCAAAAGGATTCTGGGAACTTTGTATTACCTTTCTGGGGAAGAGAGGAGCAGTTCAGGAAGGGTTTTGTGATTGGTAATTTGGATTGATGGATGTGGGAAGGCATACTCAGAATCACCACTGTGCATTGAGTGTTAGAACCATGGACCAAATGTACAGGGCTGGGCTTTGAGTTAACACCATCTCATCCTACCAGAGCTGTGGGAGGGAGGGATGAACATCTCCCTTTTACAGATAAGAACACTGAGGCCCAGAGAAGGGAACGGGACTTGTGGGGCTCAGCCCTGTTTGAGAGAAGACAGAGCTGAGGCTCAAACCTTGGCCTCTCTGGAACCCAGGGCACTGAGGGAAGGATGGTGGGAAGGGAATAGGGAAATTGAGAGAGGCAGAGATAGACCATTGGGGGGAGGAAGTTAAGCCAAGAGAGAAAGACATTGGAGAGAGAGCTAAACACTGAGAAAAAGGTATAGATATGTGTACTTGAATAGACACAGAAAAAGAACTGGGGAGCCAAATGGTCGGATTGGTGGGGAGTGGAAAGGGAAGACAGAATTAAATCACAGAAGCATGCAGGGAGAGGGAGATATGATCACAAAGAAATACCGGAAAGGGTGGGAATGCAAACTGGTGCAACCACTATGGAAAACAGTATGGAGATTCCTCAAAAAATTAAAAATAGAACTACCATACGATCCAGCCATCCCACTGCTGGGTATTTATCCAAAGAGCTTGAAGTCAGCAATCCCAAAAGTCCTATGCACCCCAATGTTTATTGCAGCACTGTTTACAATAGCCGAGACGTGGAAGCAACCTAAGTGTCCAGCAACAGATGAATGGATAAAGAAGATGTGGTACATATATACAATGGAATACTACTCAGCTGCAAAACAGAACAAAATCATTCCATTTGCAATAACATGGATGGACCTTGAGAGAATTATGTTAAGTGAAATAAGCCAGCGAAAGAAGGATAATCTGTGTATGACTCCACTCATATGAGGAATTTAAAATTATGGGCCAAGAACAGTTTAGTGGATACCAGGGGAAAGGTGGGGTGGGCACAAAGGGTGAAGTGATGCACCTACAACATGACTGACAAACATTAATGTACAACTGAAATTTCACAAGATTGTAACCTATCAATAACTCAATTAAAAAAAAAAAGGAAATACCAGAAAGGACATAGAGACAGACTTGTGCACAGAGACCTGCAGAGAGAGACATAAGAGGGCTAGAAATACCCCAGGTATGTAGAGAGGCAGATGTGCATGTCCAAAGAAAGAACGAGAGAGAGACAAACACAGGGATAGAGAAACAGACTCAGAGAGAAGCACATAGAACGAGGCCAGAGCCAAGATGTAGACACAGGAACACACACACAGTCCTATGCACACATACAGATCCACAAGCACATGTACAGATCCAGAGGCAAAACACCTGCAGACCAAGTCCTTCCCACCTCACCCTTCCCACTCACCCCAACTCTGCTCTCCCCAAGCAAATAGAGCCACAGAGAGACACGTGTGCCTAGGTACACTCAACCCTCAAACACAGTCACACACCCAGAGTCACGGAGAGAGACAAATACACAGATGTGTCTATGATGAGACAGATAGATATATAGAGAGAAATGGAGACAGAGAAGAGAGTTAGGGAGGCATAGACAGGGAGAGAGAAAAAGAGACACAGTGAAACAGGTGTGGAGGGGCATATATAGAGAGAGAGACAAGCCCACAGAAAGAAGGAACACGTAGAGAATGAGATGAGTTGGCGTAGAGGGAATTACAAAGAGGCCGAATTGGCAGGGTGGGGAGAATCAGAGAGAAGACAATGGCCAGAATGAGAGACAGTGAGACAAACCGGCAGAGAAAGATGCTTATAGAGATACGTAGAGAAGGAAAGATGCGGTAGAGAAAACGTGAGTAGGAAAGAAAGACAAAAATGGAAAAAGCAATGATATTTAGAATGAGAAAAACCAAGAGACCAAGAGACACAGAGAAAAAGAGGTGTACATGTACCTTCCACGCACGAGGGGTACGTACACACACCCAGGCACATCCATGAAAGTGATATACGTGTAAATTCTAGCCCACAGAGAAAGAGAATGGTGGGAATGAGAGACTCAGGGAGAAACACACAAGGAAATTCTCATACTGAGAGGTACTCACAGATGCCCAAACAGAAAAATACCACACCACAAGCAGACAGCTGCTCAGAGACTAGCATCTGGAGTTAAGCCCCCTGGCCAGGTGAATTACACACCAGGGGAGATGGTTTTCTCTTTCACAGACACTTGCAAATGTCTACCTTCTGTTAGATCATGTCACAGAGGCCTTGCATTGAGCACCTTTCTCAGGCTGGTTGTAGGTGGGAGGTGAGTGTCATATCTAGAATGAGGGCCTTGTCTAGTCAATATGCTCACAAATGGAGGAGAGGGCTAGAAAGGCCATGTGAGGGCTTGGTCAGGGCCTGGGGTGGTAAGGCAGGAGGCCTGGCTCTCTTTTTGGCTTTCCTGTGTCCTGGTCACTGCCCCTGCATGGGCCACTCACATACAGGCTGGCCCAAATGTTCCTGAGGGCCCTTCCTGCCCTGACCCATCTGCTGCTCCTCTGTAGGCCTTCCCAATGTTGGAAAGAGCAGCCTGATCAATAGCCTGAAGCGCAGCCGTGCGTGCAGTGTGGGAGCTGTTCCTGGGGTCACCAAGTAAGCACCTGCCTGTTCCCCCACTCCACAGCTCCTTGACCCTACCATTCACCCAACTCCCATGCCTTCAGCCCCTGTCCCTTTCCTTATCTTAGACCAGCCTCTGATTCTTCCCTGGGTGTGGTAATCTCACTAACAGCCTTTGTTTACCTGACACACACTAGGTGTGGGCCAGGCTCCTAGCTGGGTGCTTCCCTCTTAGCTCCTTGAAGCCTCCTAGCAGATGTGTAAGACTGGGCTACGAATACACAGCTCTGCTTCCTAGATGAAGCAGCTGAGCCTCAGAGAGTCAGAAGCTTGCCCATAGTCCTGCAGCTCAGTTCCCAATGGCAGAGGCTAGACTAGAATCAGTTCCAGGTCGGTAGGGCTCCACAGCCCCCGGCCCCACATCGCTCCACCTTCATCTGTACGCAATCTGCCCCTCACCGCTTCTCTCAACTGTGTGACTGGGGCCTAGAGGATGCCAGACACACCTGGGCTTGTCAGTGTCCTCTGTCATCTCCTCTCTCCCACCCCAGGTTTATGCAGGAGGTCTACCTGGACAAGTTCATCAGGCTGCTGGATGCCCCAGGCATTGTTCCAGGACCCAACTCAGAGGTGGGCACCATCCTGCGCAACTGCATCCATGTGCAGAAGTTGGGAGACCCCGTGACCCCGGTGGAGACCATCTTGCAGCGCTGTAACTTGGAGGAGGTACGCAGGGCTCTTGCTCATGCCCTACCCCACTCCAAGGGCCCTTCATTCTTCCTCATGATTTCTTTTCCTCCCTTTACCAGATTTCCAACTATTACGGTGTCTCTGGGTTCCAGACCACTGAGCACTTTCTGACTGCAGTGGCCCACCGCTTGGGGAAGAAGAAGAAGGGAGGCATATACAGTCAGGAGCAGGCGGCCAAAGCTGTCCTGGCTGACTGGGTGAGGTGAGGAGGGGACTAGAGGTAAGGGTGAGGCCCTCTGGGAGTCAGGTTCCACCAAGGGGCTCATCTATGTTCATTGCAGCGGTGGGGGCAGCCTGACTTCCTGGGTCCCAGGACAGGGAAGGCCAAGGCGCCAGGTCATGTCCTGCTCGGGAATTTATGGCCAGCGATTATCCAGCAGCTCAGCCTCTTGTTCAGGAGCCACTGTCTGGGTTTGCTTGTTGTCCCTCACTGTTTCTGATTTGGCAACTCATCTTCTCTTTGGTCATTTGTTCTCTTGATGACATCACCACCAATTTCCTCCCGCCTCCCAATGCAGCGGGAAGATCAGCTTCTATACACTTCCACCTGCCACCCACACTCTACCTGCCCATCTCAGTGCTGAGATCGTTAAGGAAATGACTGAGGTCTTTGACATTGAGGATACTGAGCAGGCCAACGAAGACACCATGGAATGTAAGTGGTGGTGAGTGGACTGGCCTGCCCAGCACTTTGTCTTGCCCTGGTGAAGCCACACAGACCTGACACCAAATCTCACATTTGACCTCCTCCTGCCCTGACCCTACTCTGGCTTTTGCAAAATTGTTTAACCAGCTCTAAGCATAGTGTCTTCTCCCACAAGGTGGAGAATTCTAATCTGGGCCATGGAGGTGGTTGTGGGCTCTTGGTCAATAGGAAAAAATCAGCAAAGTACCTGGTACACAGTGAGATGCTCAGGAAATGTGAGGTTCCTTTCCCCATCTCTTGGGACCTGGAGTGGACTGAGACACTCCTCTCAAAAACCCCTTGTCTCATGTTGCCCTAAGCTTTGTCTCAGCCATTGCATGTCCGCTCCTAGATTTTATTCTCACCCCCATTGGCGAGTGAGGCATCTGAGTGACAGAAAGATGATATTTGCCAAATGGCGCATGGTCAGTGGCAGGCAGAGGTGGCATTCAAACCAGTTCTTCTGCCCTGTTGTCAAAGATTTACCCAGTTCAGAGTAGCTGAGTGGGAATGGACTGCCTGGATTCAAATCCAAGTTTTGTTTCTTGTTAGCTGTATGATGCTGCACAAGTTGCTTAACTTTTCCATGTCTCAATGACATCATCTGTAAAACGGAGACACTAGCACCCACCTGATAAGATAATTGTGAAGACTTGTTTAATATGTAAAACCACTTAGAACAGTGCCTGGCATATAGTACATGCTTGGTAAATATTAGCTGTTATTAAGGTGATTATTTGCTGGGGTACAGAGGTGTGTCTTTCAGAAACTCCTGTAGGAGTATCTCTTCAGATACTACCATTCTGCAGCCCTGGCTTATGGCTCCTCCTTCCTTCTCTATCCTACCCTAGAAGGGTGCCTGGTGCTCTCTGGGCCTGTCTGTGGGCACTCTAGAATAATGGAGAAAGCCCTAGCTGGACTGGCTTCCAGTTTTTATGTTTCTCTTGATGGCCAGTAGCTTTCCTCCTCTGGGCCTTTTAGTGTCCTTAGATCACAAATGAGGACTAGAGGACTTGCTCACTTCAGAGTTTATTCCCCATATGGCTTTGGGCAAGTCATTCCCCTTTCTGAACTTTACTTTCCTCTTCTCTCAAGTGGGCAATTGGGAGGAATTAGAGCTCATGTTCTTATGGTGATGCTTGACCCTGGCTGGATGTGAAGGCAAGAGAGGCTCTATCACTGAGCATGCACTTTGGAAAAAGATTGAGGTCTGGGAAATTGAGAAGAGGGAGAGGTTAATGGTGAGAGTTTCCTGGAGGAGTTGGCCCTAGTGTTGGACCTTGAAGAGTGAGTAGAGATTAGAGGCCCAGGGGAGGGGCTGAGGGCAAAGTTTAGAAACAGGTGTGAGGGTAGTATGGGCCTAGGGCAATGGGCACATTTGTGGTTTGCAGTGGAGGTCAGCTCCAGGCAAGGGGCCAGAGGGAGGGGGAGAGAGGCCTGGTCCTGGAGAGGGAATCCCAGTTGCTACCATTTACAGAACAGTGTCTTGGGCCAGTGCATTTCAGGAATCCTCTGCTATGACTCACAGCACCCCTGTGTCATAGGGCTTATGGCATTCTCATTTTCCAGATGAGGAAACTGAGGTTCCAAGATCAGCTCCATCAGGCGAGTACCCTACTACAAAACCCAGGCCTTTAATCCTTTGTCATATGGCCTCTCAGCAGGAATGAAAGAACTGTCCTTCCCAACTCCTCTGGGCAGCATCCACATATCTTTTCCACTGAGGCCTGACCAGGGGGCTGGCATCAAGGAAAAGCCAGGGCTCTGACAGTGGTGTTGGTTGTGTTAAAGGCTTGGCCACTGGAGAATCTGATGAGCTGTTGGGTGACGTGGACCCGCGCGAAATGGAGATCAAGTGGCTCCATTCTCCGATGATGAAAATAGCAGATGCCATGGAAAATAAAACCACCGTGTATAAGGTACCTGTCCCGTTTCTTCATGGCAACTCTTGCTTACCCAGGGCTCTGGGAAGTGGTCACTCCCTTCTGCCTGGCTCCTGCGAGGTCTGCCTATAATGGTAGGGAGACATGGATTGTTCACTCACTCCCTCTGGGCTCCCTGGGTGCCTGGCTGGGTGTGTCATTTGCCAAGCACTGGCAGGTCCAAGGACGAGGCATGCTGTCTCAATCAAGCAGCTTTCCTAGCCCGACTCCAGCCCAGAGAACAGGTATCCCTGTCTAGCCCCCAAGTTGTTCAGGTTGCAAACGTAAGTATCCCTGACTCTTCCTTCCCTTTATCTAGTATCCAGTATCCCATAATAGTCAGCACCTAGTCCCCTGGCTTCTCCCTCCTAAATCTCTTGAGAAGCTGTTGGCTTCTTTCTGTCCTTACTATTCCTATAAGCCTAGTCTAAGCTTCCTATCCTCTCTTACCTGGACATGTGTCCCATGGTTTCTAATTTCCTGATCTGACCATGTCACCTCCCCTTTCATGACTCCCCAGCACCTACAGGATCAAGTCGATATGCCATGTTGCAGGCTTTTTCAGCCTCCTCTTCTGCCAGTCCCCCCATCTCTGCCCTTCAGGAGGTCACAGTTTAGTGGGTTTCAGACACAGACATCTGCGCTATGGTAGGATACATATAAGCTAGGGGTGGAGGCAGAGGTTGGGAAAGCATAGATCTAAGGGCTCTGACCTTTACTACTTGTGGGTCAGGGAAGTCTTCCTAGAGGCCTTGATGCTTGTGCCATCTCTTGAAGGCTGACAAATTCTCTGGACAAGGAGGGCAGCAGCCCGTGGGGGAGGGCGCAGCCTGTGCTCATGGCAAGGCTCAAAAAGAGAGCGTGGTGTTTTGGGGAAATTGTTAGTGGTGTAGGGTGGCTGGAGTGGGAGTGGAAGAGAGGAAAGATGAACCTGGAATCAGATCACAGAAGGCCTTGAGTTTGAGTTTCAACCATGGGTAGTAGGAAAACACTGAAAGTTGATCGGTTTTTCCAAAGGGTTTTACTTTTTTTTCCATTTTGTTTATTTAAAATATTTTTTCTTTTTATTTATTTTTTGACTAGGTAATACATGTATAAAATTTAAAAGTCACTAAAGGGTATACAGTGAAAAGTAAGTCTCTGTCTTGCTTCTATCTCCCGACCACCCTGTCCCCTCCTTGGAGGCTGTCACTATTAGCAGACTTGAGCATCCTTTCAGAACTATTCCATCTTTATACACACATATATATACCTACAAGCAGATACAGAGATCTATTTTAATTCAAATAGTAGCATGCTATTCATATTGTTCTGCACTTTGCTTGTTTCACTTAGGAATACATCTTGTAGATTGTTCTTATCTGGGAGGGTTTCTTAAGCAGGGAAGCAACATGGTCAGGTTTGTGTATTAGAACTATCACTGGTGGCTGGGGCAAAAATCAGGTTAGAAAGAAAGGGGCCGGGGGGAGGCAGGGAGTCCAGGAAGGAAACTGTCACGTGTACTCTGTAAGAGACGATGAGACCTGCACTGGGGCAGTGTCAGGAATCACACCATTCCCATCCTTACATAGTTTCAAAGGTTCCCCTGGTGCTTACAGGAAAATCACTGTCAAGTTGTATATTTAAGGCTATCCCCTGATAATATTTCTCACTGAGTCCATAAGCCCCAGAACCTACCATTTTTCCTCAGGGACCTGTAGTAGTTCTCCACTTACACTACGAGTTCCAGACTCAGGTTCAGGGCCCTGAGCAGGGTCACTCCATTGCACAAGTGTGGGAGATACCATTTTGGTGTGCTATATTGTGAATGGTGCCCCCCTGCAACCCCAGAGTTGTATAGTGTGGTAGCCTTGCCTTTTCCCCACTATAGTGTAGCAGGTGGTCATACATATATAAGCCTGTCTGCTTGGGTTCTAATTTATTCCACTGCTTACTAGCTGTGTGACCTTAGGTGCCTTGTTTGTCATAGCATTGTTGCAAGGATTAAGTGAGTTAATACATATGCATGTGTACCTGTATACATATACCTAAATATGTATACATACGCATATATGTATGTGCTTAGAATGGTACCTTGCACATAGTGAGCTTTCTGTCAATACCAACTTTTACTACCCACATCTACCTTCCACTCCAGCCAAACAGACACTGTTTTGGGTTCCCAGGTATGCTCTGTGTTTTTCCAATTTTCACTCAGGAATGACCTTCCCATCAATAGAACTGTGTTGACCACGACCATCCTCTTAACGTCTGCCACTTATGCTGCGTCTCTCTGGTGGGCACTTACTGCACTCTGACTTGTGGTATGGTTGATTGTATCTTCTTTAGCCTAGTTGTTTCCCAAAGATGGGGCCGCATCTGACTCATTTCTCTAGCATTTCCCCACACAGAGCTGGGCACAAAATAGTTGTCAGAAAATATTTGTCAAATTGAGTAAGACCTTGAAGGGTCACTGGAGCAAAGAATCATTGTAATACCAGTTGTCGTTGATCAGGTAACTCTGCTTTTTCATTTTATTCTTATAAAAGCCATGCAAGCTACCCATTGTCCACTCCCATTTCACAGAGGAGCAAACTGTGACTGAGAGCTTAGCTAAGCACCTAATTTGTGGCGGAGCCAAACTTAGAGCTTAGTTCTGCATGGCTCCAGGCTCCCTGTTCTTACCTAAGCTTGTCCCTGCCTCCTCTGCAGAAGTCTTTGGAGGTACTCTGGGGACCCAGACCTCACTGTTATCCTCTCTCTCCCCAGATTGGAGATCTCACTGGGTATTGCACCAATCCAAACCGTCATCAGATGGGGTGGGCTAAGCGCAATGTGGACCACCGCCCCAGGAACGATAGCACAGTGGACGTCTGCCCAGTAGACCGCCGCCCAATGCTGCAGAGGATCATGGAGACGGACCCACTGCAGCAGGGCCAGGCTCTGGCATCTGCCCTGAAGAATAAGAAGAAGATGCAGAAGCGTACAGGTGGGGGCACCTGACCACCCCCCTGTGCTCCATAAAGAGCCCATCTGGGGCCTTGATTTAGGGGCTCCTGAATGAGTATCTCCATGTATCCAGCCCCAGACCAGGGTTAGAGGGCAGGGGTGGGTTAGGAGGCTCACCTACTAGCACAATGGTTCTCAAACCTTAGCTTATATTAGAATTGCCTGGAAGGTTCTTAAAACAGATTTCTGGGACCCACCGCCAGAGTTTCTAATTGAGTAGGTTGGCTGTGGGGCCTGCTAATTTGTGTTTCTAACTGTTTCCCAGTTGATGTTGATGTTGCTCCTCTGGGGACCACACTTGGAGAACTGCTGGCCTAGCCTATATATCAAATAGACACCATTTATTTATCAGCTGCTTTCTATGTGTTAGGAACCTTACTGGCTATATATAACGTTTACTTTATCACTAGGCAATACACTCAAGGTACAAAAGGATATATAGTAAAATGTCTCTCTCCTACCCATCCCCTAGTCATCCAGGCCTCCCCCGATAGGCAACTAGTTAATTTCTTATATCTCATTCCTGAGATAGGAACACAGGCAAATACCTATATATTCTTTGTTCTCTTTTTCTATACAAATGCCAATCTACTGAACGTACAGTTTTGCCACATTATTTTTCCATTCACTATGTATTGGGGATATTTCCATGTCAATTCACAAAAGAACTTCCTCCATTTTTATGGTGGTCCGTTGTGTGGCTGGCCCATTTAGGTCTTCATGGCATACTAATCTTCGCTAACTTATTGTGAAAGTCTTATCCTCATTTGGTAACTGAGGAAACTGAGGCCCAGAGATTTTAAGTGACACACTCAAGGTAAGACAATTAATATTTGATGGAGACAAAATGCAAACCTAGGATTGATTGACTCCATTGGCCCAGTTCTTTCAATTAGGCTGTGTTTATAACCATTCACTGTTGGCCTGATTCCACCCTGACTCCTGGGAATCCACAGATGAATTGCTCGTGAAGTCCTGGTCTTATTGGAGAGTGGAGAGGAGAGAAGAAAACAGACATTGTCAGCACGCTGAAGACACAGAAAGCATAGTGAGGGAACCTAACTCAGCCTGGAGATGGTGGTGGAGTAGGGGTGATCAGAGAAGGCTTCCTGGAGGAGGTGATGTTTGAGGGGAATCTTGAGGAACATAACTATTCCTCAGTGTGCCTCGAGGAATGGGAGGTGAGCTTTCAGGCGCAAAGCTCTTACAGTCATGCTGCCTCTTTGCTGTGAGTGCTTTGAGGGTACTGGCAGAATGCTAAGTTCAACACGGTAAAAAAAAACTTGCTGTTTTGATACTAGGAAGGGATAAAAATACTTGGATCCCAGTGAATCTGACACTCTGAGATAGAAGCTACGTAGGGGTGATCATTTCACAGGTAGACAATGGTTCTACCTGTGAGGTTGAGCAGTGGCTGCCAGCAGCCCACCAGTTGTTTTGTGTAGTGTTGAGAGGTAAATGAGCCAGTTTCGGAGTTTGGTGCAGGCCAAGGATAGATGTAGGCTAACTCCTGCAGGCTTCCTTTTGGCAAGCTAGCCACCCAAGTGACTGCCTGTATTTCTCCATCTGCAGATAAACTTGCCAGCAAGCTGTCTGATACCATGATGTCTGTCCTCGACCTCTCTGGCAACGCTGATGACAGTGCTGGTGACTGATGGACTGATCTCACCCCCCAACTCCAAGCACCAGTTTCAGTGGGATAGGGGAATACAGATGGAATGGTTTGCTTCTCCCTGAAGCACCTAAATATTAAAAGAAGCCCCACTGTGCTGCCCCCTCCCCCCCCCACCTCCCACCACACACACGGTGTTTCGTCCATTCTTCAGGAAAAAAAAAAGTCTCTAGTGGCTGAAACTGGCAAACCCAATACCCTTATTTAACCCCCACTTCATTTTACAAGAGAAATAAATCATCAGCAGATCCCTGAGGCTAACAGTTTATCCCCAATCCTGTAGGTTGGACTGGTTGGAGGGCTGACCCCTCATAAAACCCTCTTGGACAGCTAAACCTGCAGCTAGAGGCTAGGTTGCTGGTGGATCTGGGGGGGGGGGTGTGGTCCTGGAAGGGTGATGATTTCTTTACCAGTCCACAACAGATCTCAGCGACAAGACGTTCCTGCAATGGGCTACAGGCCATCTGTCTTCCTCCCACCCAAATCCACAGATCCTCACCTGGGCGGCAGAGGGAGTAGGGGGAACAGTGATGAGCCTTCTGTGTCTCTGGAAGGGTCTGGGGATAGGATATAGGAAAGAAGAGAACACACAAGCCTGGCTGGTGATGAAGTGTGGTAAACACTACCTTGTTTGCACAAAGGGAAAATAAGGCACCATTTTGTAGGCTGGCTGGGTGCCTTAGGGGCAAGCCCTGCCTTGGGGCATTCCTGGGTAGACTGAGTTGGAGGAATCCCTTGAACTGAAGCATTCTGTCTGGGCCCTGCCCTTGTGTGACCATGTCTCATCCAGTACCAGCATTTGAATTCTGTGATTCAAAAAGGTGCTGTTGCCATTTATTCACAGGCTGCATCCTCAAGAGCTTCTGTATCTGGGGTGCACCAGGCAACTCCTTTTCCAGTGTCTAGAAGTCATTATACCCCATTAAATATAATTAGCCACCTCCTCCAGAGGAGCTTACGCTATCAGACGGGGGCAGTGGGCCCAAGCAGTCCCAGGGGCCCTCAGAAAGGGACTGGGGTAGATGATGGCAGCAGAAACACAATCTTCTCACTTCCCCAGGGGTGGTTTTAGTTATGCATACGACCTTAGTTCCCAGCAGTCTACCCAAGACTCATCACATCTGAAAGATGTGATGCTTAGATTAGATTGCTTCAGTCTTTGCCTACTACCCCAAACTTCCACACCTTCTTTGGACCCACAGCCACATCTTAGCCTTGTCTTTCATGCTGTCATCCTCTAATTTATTACTCAAATCCTAGAAGTGGAGCCATGTGGTGGAGTGGTGAGCGCCCTTGGCTTGCAGGCTGATCAGCAGGGAAGTGCACACTGCTGCGTTCCAGGGCAGCCAAAGGAGAGAATTATGTATTGCTTAAGCACAAACTGCATCAAACCCTGGAAACCTGTTATCTCCTTTAACCCTCAGTATAGCTCTGCCAGTAAGGGATTAGCCTCTTCATGTGAAAGATAAAGAAGCAGGCTCAGAAATTTGTCAGGGTGTACCTAAGATGACATGTTAAGTGGTGGTGCCAGGATTGGAAGCCAGGTGTGATAAAACCTTATGCAGGCCCTTTCCTCTGTGTTATACTGCCTCCTTAACATTAAGTACCTACTGTGTGCCACTTTGTGTTATCAAGCCCTTTAAATACATTCTTGCTTTTTTTTGTTTTAAAAAATAGGGTCTTGAGGGCCAGTCCCATGGCTGAGTGGTTAAGTTTATGCACTCCCCTTTGGCGGCCCATGGCCTCGCCTGTTTGGATCCATGGAGTGGCTATGGCACGGCTCATCAGGCCATGCTGAGGTGGCGTCCCACATAGTGCAACCAGAGGCACTCACAACTAGACTGTACAACTATGTACTGGGGGCTTTGGGGAGAAGAAGAAGGAAAAAAAGATTGGGAACAGATATTAGCTCAGGTGCCAGTCTTAAAAAAAAATAGAGTCTTGTAAAAATTCTACTCTGAGTCCCCTTGGTTGGGGTCCAACTTATTTCACACTATCTTATCAAACTCTCCTGGTAGATAATAGTTTTACAATGGAAAGTTGGATACCAGGACAGCTAAGGCCATTTTACAACCATATGGTATTTCATGATTTAACATTTAAAATATTTTCTAGTACTCTTAAGAGATCCTGGTAAGTAAGTACTAGAAATAGAGTAGTCTCTAGATGAGTAAGAAGCAGCGTAGGAACATAATTTGGCCCAAATCAAACAGATGAACTAAAGTAGTCATGTCAGGTTAAGAATCTGGGACTCCAGATTCTCTACAGCCTATGATAAGTTTTTAAAAAAGCTGTTTCTTTTTTTAAAGATTTTATTTTTTTTCCTTTTTCTCCCGGAAGCCCCCAGTACATAGTTGTATATTCTTTGTTGTGGGTCCTTCTAGTTGTGGCATGTGGGACGCTACCTCAGTGTGGTTTGATGAGCGGTGCCATGTCCGCACCCAGGATTCGAACCAACGAAACACTGGGCCGCCTGCAGGGGAGCGCACGAACTTAACTACTCGGCCACGGGGCCAGCCCCCAAAAAAAGCTGTTTCTTGAGACTTTTCCCTCTTACCTTTTTTTTTTAAATTAAGGTATAATTTACATACAATGAAGTTCATCCTTTTTAAGTTCTGTGAGTTTGGACTAATGTACACAGTAGTGAATCACCATCACGATCAAGATGTAGGATAATTACATCGCCCCCAAAACTCCCGGATCCCTTTGTAGTTAACCCCAGCCCTAGCCTCAGATCCTGTCAACCACCGATCAGTTTTCTGTCCCTATAGTTTTGCTTTGGCATGAATATCATGTAAAAATAATCCTACAGTATATAGGCTTATTTTATGCCTATAGAGTTTTAAATTTTATTTTAAAAATTTATACAGAATAGAATTCCCTCTGGCGTATAGTTCTGTAAGCTTTGACAAATACGTATAGTTGTGTAACCAACACAAGATTCAGAACAGTTCCATTATCCCTAGCCCTCCACCACCAAATTTATTCCTGCTGCTTTATAGTACAAACCTCTCTACCCCTAACTCCTGGCAACCCTGGTTTGTTCTTTGTCGTTAGAATTTTCTCTTTTGGAGAGTGTCATATAAGTGGAATTATACAGTATTTAGCCTTTTGAGACTGGCTTCTTTCACTAAGCATAATTCATTTGACATTCATCCACATTATTGGGTCTATCAATAGTTCCTTATTTCTGAGTCTTACTCCATTGTATGGATGTACTGCCATTGGTCTCTCCATTCTCCAGTTGAAGGGACGTTGAGTTGTTTCTAGTGTGGGACAATTACAAATAAAGCACCTGTAAATATTTG